GCCACCTTGGGTGTACATGGCTGGCGCCTTAGCCACTTGAGCCACAGACGCCGAGCCGCTTTTATTTCTTTAATTTATTCACAAGAGCAAGATGGTATAGAAACATGATCTGCCCTTAGCTAATCTTATGTAAGGTAGCTTATCAGTCATCTTAAGCACCCGTTATTAATGTGCTTGATTTGTGATTAAACCACTTTTCTCCTATCATGATTTTAGGCTTAAAATGGCAAAGTTGTATTCATTTTTGAACTGTTTAAACTGATCAGTCTGGGTGCCAATAGCTCAGTGGTTAGGGTGCTGGCCACATGCTCTGGGGCTGGTGGTTTCAAACCCGGCCCGGGCCTGCTAAACAAAACAAAACTAAACAAAAAAATAGCCGGCTGTTGTGGTAGGCGCCTGTAGTTCCAACTACTCCGGAGGTTGAGGCAAGAGAATCTCTTGAGCCCAAGAATTTGAGGTTGCTGTAAGCTTTCATGCCAAGGCACTCTGCCCAGGGTGACAAAGTGAGGCTCTGTCTCAATAAAAAACAAACAAACAAAAAACTACACTGATCAGGGTACCTGTGGGAACAGTGAAACTAGCCTTAGAGAGGTGAATGTATGGTATCCAGCCTTGTGTAGTGGATACCTGTATCTGAGAGGTTTTCTTTAATCAGTTTAAGAGGTTCCTTAATGTGTCTTATGTTGGGAGAGATGTGAAAAATAAGGGCGAGCTCAACTTTTGTTTTTATCTACTGAACTATAAAAAGTTTAAATTCAATTTTAAACACTGTAGCATTCAGTAGAGAGATTGTACTAGTATGTTATAATTTCATTGTGCTTTCAGGCAAATATCATTATGTTTTTATTGCCAGTTTTCATTGTACAGGAACTTTAAAAATTATGTTAAAAGTAAAATTTTATGAAGAGTATTTTGCTTTCATAATTTGGACCATTTTTTAAAAACCATTTTACCTTTAAGTGGCATGTTCTCCCCCATTCCAAATGACATTTGGGAGGATTTTCTTCACCTTGTTCTCTTTTTACACTTCCTAGTTAATATTTCACAGCAGTCCATTTAAGGATGTCCCTCAGAGGTTGAACAGCTTCTATGGAATAATCAGGGAAGTGTTCATTTGATTTTACTATTTAGGATATTATTTATTGTCAACATTTCACCATATTTGGGATTCTAAGGTGATAAGGATGTCAGTCACTTAAGGAACAGCAGTGGTTGTAAAAGGGTTTCTTGCTCACTGTTAATCATTTAGTTACTAATAATCTAATATATGAAAGGCTAAAGGTGTAGTACCCTGAATTTCCTTTCCTCTACTTGTTACACTTCGGGGGTTGCTAAGCATTATTAATGACCATCTTAGAGAATGGTTAGCAGCTTAGAAAATGTATACATGTAGAACACTGGTCATTTGGCTCCTTCCACCCCCACCCTTTGGGGCAGTACTAAGAAAAGTATTGGGGATAGGGGTTTAGAATTTGAATTCTTTGTTGTTTCAGTAAACACTAATTGGGAGTTGGAGTTGGTTTTAATTTTTCTTATAAAGGGGAAACTCTTGGTCCATGTGTACTTGTAATGCATTATCCAACATCCATCGTTATTTCTGTTCTTATAAATAACTGAGTTAAGTAGATTCTAAAAGAAAACTTTTGTATCTAATCTCTTTAGCAGGAGGAGCAATCTCAGAATTGTTATGAAGACCCTTGAAGTTCTTCATTCTTCTCCACGTTGCCATCATGTGGCCTCTGGACACTGCGGTCAGTCATTTGAGATTGACTTTAATTTAAAACAAAGGCCTCTGCGTCCCACCCAGGAGGTGGGAGGAGTGAAATTTATGTTTGAATGAAGAAGTGAATTATGGAAGAAGAGTATATGTCCCTTACCTTCCCTTTCAAGCAAAAGTCCAAATAGGCTCTCAGGAATGAGGATTTGTGAAGACATCAAATAGGGGTTTTGATTCATTTAAACTTTGATGCTTAGTTATGTTGCTGGAGAAAAGCATTTTGCTCATCTAACTTGATCATACCAGCATCAGTTTGACTGTCATTTCCTATCTCCTGTAGCCTTCCATCCTCAATGCATGTCCTTGAGTGACTTGTTCATATCTGAAATTTTGCTACCAATATCCCAGGGAAACTTCTGTTGCTAATTCTCTTTCATTTTTTAAACTTATCTTCTCCCAAGATATCTCCTATATTTCTATATTGCATACAAAGGATGGGCAGAAAAGACAGTGCTTGAATGATTTCAAATTTTCAGAAAGGCAAGAAAGATAAGAAGGTTCCCTTTTCCTACCATATCACATTTTGCTCAAGAAGCTGGGCTGCAAGAGATTCAGGGTTTTCCTGTTTTCCTTTCATTGCATGTTTCCCTTCAGTCTCGGTTCATTGTCATGAATCATGGTTTTTGAAGATAGCTAGTTTTATTCATCTCTAGTAAAGAATCATCAGTAGTTTATATTGCTTTATCTGTGGTGGCTTTCAGAGATGCAAACAAACCAACGTGTCACTCAACAAGCTTCTTTTTTATTGGGGTGGGGGAATCTATGCAAGGACTAAGGTAAAACTGTCCAAAATCAGAGCAGCAACAACACAATTCAAATCAAAGATCAAGGTGAAATGTTTTTTATCATTGCCTGTGGAAATCTATCCTCATTAGTCATTGCATATTTCCCTTCTTGTATCTTTACTCCTTTTTCTATGTTTTCAGTCACTTCCTTTCTGTGAAAGGTTGCTAGTTTTTTTCTGTTTTTGCCTTTTTTCCCTCCTGCTTTCTGCTGTTCTTTAGATAGAAAGATTGGATAGACGTGTACATTAGGTGTTTGAAATTCACTGAAAATTTAGCGGGGAAGTCAGCTACTCAGTAGCCTCCCTGAATAGAGCTTTTAGTTGACCAGAAGTGCTTAACTTGGATCATCATTTTCTCAGTATTTTCAAAGAAGAATTTAAATATTGTTCTTATTGTGAAATCTTTACCAGTTGGTGGATGCTCCTATAGGTAGCCAAACACACTGATTACCTTTAGATCTTAGGATAGAAATCAAAGTAGAGCACATCAGTAAGAGCCTCTTTCTCCCATTCCATCTTTTAGCACCAGTATTTTAAGTAGTTGAAGAAAGAGCTCTCCCTGAGTCAGTTTCAAAATGTCTGTACTTTTAGATGGTATTACTTTTTCCTCAAATGCTCATTTTGTGCATTTCATATGCATTAGACCAGTGGTTGAGATTGATAGATGACTCACTTGACATGGTTTTGTTTTACAGACATATCCATTTCAGTTTTCTTTGTACTCTACCCTGCAAGTAGTGTGCAAACTGTGTGATACAAGGGTTTCTGCCTTATTTCTGTGTGTGGTTTCCTCTGCCTGTACATTTGGATGTTCACGCTATGTCCACCTCCTAAACTAGCTACTGAGAAAAGCCACTTAAGCCCTGTCAGATTGTCTCTGGCAATAGCTCCTAATAATTATTTATGCTTTGGGAAATTTGTTTTCAACTCCTAAAACCTTCTATCCATTTCAGTTTGACTCTCTTGATTTGTACAATATATGTATATTCTCTTCCTTTTTGTCTGTTCCCCACTCCCCTGTTGTTTGGGTTTTTAAAATGTTCTGTAGTTTTGTACAAGATGAGACATAGCCTTGAGTATTTCTTGCTGAAGCTTTAATGCTTTGTAAATAAAATCGGATGTTTATTAAAGAACAGGTGTAGCTGTTTGTTTGTAAACACTGCTCACTTCTGGGACTCACCAGCTGCTGTGCTTTTGTACAGTGGAAAATGTGGCTTACTGTGGTGATATTAAATCTGTGTGGAATATAGATCTGCAGGGGGTAGGGGTGGTCAGGCAGTGTTGATTTATGCCTGTAGACAAAACTATAAACAGATGATCTGAGCACAAAATTGTTAATCGAAAAGATCCCCCAGCAGTGATTGCTATTCATATTCTTTAACTCAGTATATTTGTGTAATTACCCTGAAGAGACCATAGTGCTAGCCGTTCTGGAAGTTACAAAAATGCATGCCAGGAGGTTCCTACCTTCCAAGGATCTTTTTAAATCTAAGTTACAGTTACATTCCACTTCATTGCCTTTTTGGGGATTAAATAGTTTAAAATCCATTGAATGCTTATTGTCTCCTAAAGAGTAAGATGTTTCTAGCCGGGCATTGTGGCGAGCACCTGTAGTCCCAGCTACTTGGGAGGCTGAGGCAAGAGAATCACGTAAGCCCAGGAATTGAAGGTTGCTGTGAGCTGTGTGACGCCACGGCACTCTACCGAGGGCAACAAAGTGAGACTCTGTCTCTCCAAAAAAAAAAAAAGAAGAAGAAGAAAAAGAAGATGTTTCACAAAGTCTTTTATTTTAATCAGTGCCAAATCTGAGTGTCTATTTATCTTTTATGTGACTGAGAACCCCATCTTTGACATCATAGCTGTTTCTTAGCAACCTTGACCTAAGTGAGCAATGAGATCCTCTGTTCTATAGCACTGGGGAGTCAGGGAGCATTGTCCATAATCTCACCCAGAAAATACATGTGTCTTTGGTACCCTTGGGAAGCAAGAGTGCCTAAAAGGGAGGGAGGTACTGCCTTTAATGCAGCCTCAAACATTCTCATTTGAAAAGGTCATCTTGGCCGTTGGCTTCATGAATTTTTATTTCTGTTGAAAATCCCTCATATGTGAATGAACAGTGTTTCACACTTTACAAAGTGTTTTCATGTACAGCATATCATTTGATGCTTAAAGTGACCTTCCTAAAATAGGCAAGGAGGTCTTAATTTACAAAGGAAGAAATAGAAATTCAGGAATGGTAAGTCACTTGCCTCCCAGTCCAGAGTTCTTAATTTTTTTTTAGACGGTTTAGGAGCAAAGTGAATAAGTTAGGTTATTTAAACCTCTCTTTTTTATTTTTATTTTTTAAAGACTTTAGTATTTGTTTTCTTATTTGGTCACATTTAACTTGGTGTTATGAAATCCTCCATTTAGATTCCACAGTTTGGAAGGGAAGGGAAAGGGTGAGGAAGAATGTAAACTTCACTATGTATTTGAGATAATTTGGAAATTCACTAAAAGTGTGGGTGGATTGCTTGACTATAAGAGTTCGAGACTAACCTGAGCAAGAGTGAGACCCTGTCTCTACTAAAAATAGTAAAACTAGCCAGGTATTGTGGTAGGCACCCCTAGTCCCAGCTACTCAGGAGGCTGAGGCAGGAGGATTGCTTGAGCCCAAGAGTTGGAGGTTGCTGTGAACAACAGAGACCCTGTCTCAAAAATAAATAAATAAATTTACTAAAAAATGTGACAAGATTGAAGACTGACAAGGTGGTCTTTTTTTTTTTTCCCTTGAGACAGAGTCTCACTTATGTCGCCCTTGACAGAGTACTATGGCATCACGGCTCACAGCAAACTCAAACTCTTGGGCTTAAGCAATAATACTCTTGTCTCAGCCTCCCAAGTAGCTGGGACTACAGGCGCCCGCCACTACGCCTGGCTATTTTTTGGTTGTAGTTGGCCCAGGCTGGAGTCAAACCTGCCAGCTCTGGTATATGTGGCTGGCACCCTAGCCGCGGCCGAGCCTGACACGGTGGTCTTTAACGACCATAGATAGTAAAGCAACAACATTTTTTTCCTGCCTTCCCTGTTAATAAATACTGGGCTTTTATTAAGTTACACTGTTTTATTGACAATACACACATCGTATCTTTTGATTTTGAAGGATATCTCAGGTCAAAGGAATCAAGTTACAATATTATAGAGGAATCAGCTGGAATACCTTGGGGGTACTGGCTGAGGGTGGTGAAATACCTATCAAGACATGAAGATTTTGGCCACTAGTTTCATCCTTGGGAGGCTGGCGTTGGCCTACCTGCTTTTGGTGGTGACTACACTTGAAACACTGGCCATTCCTGAGAAGCTGCAAGAAGCTGTGGGGAGAGTAATTGTCAATGCCACAGCCTGTACTGTCACCTGTGGCCTTGGCTACAAGGAGGAAACTGTCTGTGAGGTGGGCCCTGATGGAGTGAGAAGGAAGTGTAAGTCTCAGCGCTTGGAATGTCTGACCAACTGGATCTGTGGGATGCTCCATTTCACCATTCTCATCGGGACGGAATTTGAGCTTAGCTGTCTGAGTCCAGACATCCTGGAGGTTGGACGGGAAGCGTTCCGATTCACTTGGAGACTTGCTCGGGGGATCATCTCAACTGATGACGAGATCTTCAGACCCTTCCTAGTTAATTCCCACTTTGTGAAGTTTCCTTATGTTCAGGAGTATGATGCGGGAACATACCGCTGTGATGTGCAGCTGTTAAAAAGCTTGAGAATTGTCAAGAGGCTTTACTTTGGGCTGAGGGTCCTTCCTCCTAAATTGGTGAACCTGAATTTCTATCAGTCCCTTACTGAGAATCAGAAGTTAATGGATGAGGGCTTGGAAGTTAATCTGGACAACTATTCCAAGCCTTACCACCCAAAGTGGGAAAAGAAGGTAGCATTAGCCTTGGCAATAGGTATTACCAGTGGAGTGGTTGGTGGTTTGTTGGTGAGCTCTGCCTTCTGCCTTCTGCTGAGGGGGACCTTTAGCAATGACACCCTCCAGAGCTTAAAAGCCTTGTTCCAGAAGGCCTGGCTAGCTCTTTTGCTTTTTAGGAAGCCAAACTTTTTAAAGGGGAATGAGTGGCTAAGAGGGAGGGCTCCTACTGCCAAAAGATGACTAGGGGACGTGGAGGGGGCAACCTTGTGGTGGCTCTGGGCAATCAGAGATCTCTAACTTGTTAGTGTCCCAGATGAATTTCTTCCTGATCTTCCCTGCCTTCTAGGTCCTTAGGAAACTGTAGGCATTGCCCCTGTTCCTGGGAAGAGTTCTAACATGCGGCTTGCATTCATTTTCTATGCTTTACAACTTGAATGCCTTCCACCTGCATTTCCCCTTTTATGAGCAATGTATTCAAGTAGAAGGATGTTATTAATAGCTTTTATAGTGCAAGTATTTTTTTCCCTTCAATAAAAATAATACACAATAGTTATATGGAGATTAAACTTTTTCTTTTCGGCTGTTTAAAATTTCTTAATTTGTTTAAATTGTCCTATAATTCATCTGGCTTTCATTTTCCTCGGGTTTCTTAGAACAGACATTGAATAAATTGTCTGCTTTGTTGGGAGGGCTATCTGTGTATGGTAGAGGTTGTTAGTAATGACATCTGACTCAGGTATGTAGAAGTCACTAAATGTTAATAAATTGTCTGCCCTCCCTGTACTCACTCCCCAGGTAAGCCCTCTGTTCAGTGTTAAAGTGCATTTCCTGGCAAAACAATGGCTCCTTCATCTGCAGTTTCCCTGATGATTCACAGTCCTTGACTTGCTCCCTGCTCCCTTCCTTTTAGCTTTTTGGTGCCCTGAAGTTTGTTTCTGGAAAGGTCAACTGTATTAGTTTCTTATAGCAGTCAAAACCCCGAAGGGAGGACTGGTACCATTATTCCTCCATAGGAAATCTACTCATAAGAGGCTCAGGGGCCATTCAGATTATGCCTGAGATAATTGGCTTGTGGAACCATCAAGGAAAAGCTACCATGTTGGCCATCAGCTGAACTAGTTCTACTGAGAAAATTATAGCTTTTCTTTCTTTCACTTTTCTCTAGTACAAGAAGAGGTAGCAGGAACTAAAGACCAGTAGTTCAGTTCTTGTGTCAGAATCACCTGGATGACTTTTTGAAAAATAAAGATTTCTGAGTCCCAACCCTGAAGATGCTAATTCAGTTTAGATAGTGATCAAAGGAGCTCTGTTATTTCCTTTACTTTTAACTTTCTTGTGGGGGAGGCAGTTTTTGGCTGGGGCTGGGTTTGAATCCTCCACCTCCGGCATATGGGGCCGGCTACTTTTAACTTCTTTTTTGAGACAGATCCTCAAGCTATCCCCCTAGGTAGAGTGCTCTGACATCACAGCTCACAGCAACCTCCAACTCCTGGGCTCAAGTGAGTCTCCTGCCTCAGCCTCCCAAGTAGCTGGGACCACAGGCACCC